CTGCGCTTCAGGCCTCTCCCCTGTGCCTTGTCCCCCCCTGCCGTTGGCACCAGCCCCTCTCCAGCTTTCCTGGAGCCCCTGCAGGGACTGGAAGGGGCTCTAAGGTCTCCCCGGAGCCTTCTCTTCTCCAGACTGAACAACCCCAACTCTCTCAGCCTGTGAGAAGGCTTTGTGCCTTTGTTGGTTTGTTATTTTGTGCAAAGGGAAGACAAAGCAACTGTTTTCGCCCAAAACATCAACTTTTAAAAACATTCAGAAGCAGCAGACGGGAAAGCAAGCTGGTCAGGGTGCACCAGACCCATCTCTGTGGCCTGTCAGCAGTGGATCAACTTCCACTCCCTTGAGGATCTCCAAAGGCACGCTCTCCCTTGAATAACACTCCAAGCGCAGGTCTACACTCCTGGGCTTACCACCTTAGCCCTGGCACAGGCTGCTGGCTTGTAGGCACTGAGCGGCACTTAGATCCCAAGGAAGAAAGCAGTGGGCTCTCCCAGTGCTACTACATGCCTGATTAGTGAGGAAACCAAAACCTAGATGACAAGACATAAATGAAAATTTGCTGAGGAGTCCACTAGGTATTGCTGCTGGCTCCAAACACTCCTCTACAATCAGCTTGGAAGGAGGAAACTATTTCCAAAGGAAGCAGAACAGCACTACGAGTAGCAAACATGAAAAAAGGGAAAAAGTGCATGTGTGTTAGACAAGTAATTGATCACAGAAAAAGAAAACTCACCATAGGAAGTACGAGGGGAGGAGAAGGGAAGGAATAAAGCAAGAAAAGCAAAGCAAGATTGCCACATCTCTTCTACAAAGTCTTTCACAGGAGCTGTATCACCGTGGGAAAGAAACGCAGGCCCAAAGACAGAGGTCTTTAAAAAGTATTATTGGACAAGCTGTCCCTCGGCATGGCAGCTCCACGTCGTGAACAGGAAACTGTTCTTCATAGATGTCCAGTTGGCACAGGCAGGCAGACAGCAAGAACACAACATCTGCACATGTCTGCTCACAGGCTCCTCCCCCGCAGCACCTCTGCCAAAGCCTCCAGCAGCACATCTGGTCCGGCTCTGCCTCGGCTCCCAGGCGAGGCACGACCCTGTACCTCCAGCCTCAGCACCACAGACAGCCGGGAAAAGACAACGTCTTGGCACAGATTTAGAAACTCTTCTCTTCCTGATTGCTTATTGGCACTTTTTCAACAAAAAGATAACATTTAAGCCCTAGAACCTACTTTCCTCTTTTTAAGCACTCAGGTCAAATGACTGAGATTTGAAGACCTGCAGGGTCGCTTTGGGTAGGGGTGGGTGGGTGACAGCGCTGCTCTACAGGCTGTACTGCACAGGCAGCGCAGTGTCTGATTCTGCACATCCTACAAGAGACGTGAACCAGGACTGCGGACTTTAACCTGCATCTTTCCCACGTGTTTCTCTTCTCCATCCACTGCTCTTCACAGTAAGGATGTGAAAGGCAGGTGGTTTAACTTTAAGAGTTTTAATATAAGCGGTTCTGAAAGCTGGAAAAAAAAAATGTTTTCAAGAAGCAGATAGCTACACTTCAAGAGTGATAAGAAGGTCCAGTGTGATAACTGCTACCAAACTTTAATATTCTGTCAATAACATTAGCAGGTTAATGTATTTCCACAAGAATTCATCCTACATTCCTCCCTTTTAAAATTTTGTCTCAATTTCCTATTCATAGACATGACTAAAGTCAATGAGTAGACCTCTGTGCATTTTTAATCTTCCCCTTCCACTACCCATTCTAACATTTCATTTAATATACTCTGCCTTTTATTATTCACATCAACATTTGAAAATAAATGCATTTCGGCAGAGTAGTTCAGAAAGATATTTCACAAGGTAAATACAAAAGAGCATAGATATGCCATACACCTTGAGTCACTTAAAACGTAAAATTGAGAAAACCAAGTTACTCACAGAACCTTTTTAAAAAGCTGTTTGTGAAGTAGCAAGCGTGCATCTTTCAGGAGGTCATCTCCCAAAACATCCAGAAGACCGTCACATGAACTATTCCTGCCTCCCCACGGCAGTGGAAATACCCTTCTCCCATTCTGCTGACACAAATCCTAAACACACTGCATGTCACAAAACCTTTACATGCACACAACTGCATAAATGATTTAGGACAAAGTCACTTTCCATATCCAAAGACCTTACTGGAGCAATCATGGAAAATTTATCAAACACCATACTAAATAGTCCAAAGAGCCCTCCCAGAGAAAAAAAAAACTTTGCTTTTAAGCCACACAACTGCACCTCAGCCCATGGGCTAGGAAGACCTACTCGTTACATAGCTCAATAATTTACTATTCAAATAAAAGTTTCCCATTTTCCTCCCCAGGCCCTGGCAAGACCTACGCCAATCACACACGCTATAAATTTTATGCATAAACGGGCAACGAATATCCTTTGAACAACTCGGAATGGAAAAGCAAACACCGCGTTCCTGAGAGGAACGTGCCCATGCTGTCAGCTCGGGAGCAGCAGGGTGCGTGGAACAGTGCCAGTCGGCCCCAGCAGCCGAGCCGACGCTTGAACCCGGCTCCGCCAGCAGCGGAGACCTATGCACCGCCGCGCACGTCACTCACCTTGCCAACTCGGGGAGGGAAACGCCATCAGGATCAGCACAGGAAGAATCATAACTCCGTCTACCATTGCAGACCTGCAGAAAGAGGAGAGACGTGAGAGCTGTGTACACTTTCACTGTTGTCTTAAAATGCAACCACTCCAAAATCAGTGTTTAGCAACATCTTTCATCAATTCCTTATATAAAATGTAGAACCACCAAGGTTGATTGGTCTCCTTTTTACTGGGTCTTGTTTCCTAAGTAATTTCCTTAATGTAAAAAATTCATAATTTACTGCAATTTCTTAAATCTGACTTTTTTTTTTTGAGTCATAGAAACATCATGTGCAACTACAGTGCACGTGTAGAAGCATGGTAGTAGGAAAACAGTACCAAGCAGGCATGTAAAATAGAAGATACATTATTTCAGCCAGGTATTAAAAAGCTAAGTTTGTGAACTGAAAAGAAGGTCTGTAAGACTGCATATTATTTGGGCTTTGAAGGGAAACAGAAAAGATCTCAGCCAGAAGACTCTGAATAACTTTAACCAGCAGAAACCGTTGCTAGATGGCAAGAAAAAGAGCAAGATGTATGTAAGGGAGACACCACTCTCAGAAGAGTAATTTCCCAGTGTAAGCTGCTTTTCCAAGGGTCTTCCTTTCAGTGGCCCAGCTCCATGTCCCTGCTGCCGAAGACAGGTAACCGCATCTCACATGAAACGGGCTGTTGCCAGCACATGAGCAGAGGCACACGCTCCCTCTAAAGCAGTAAATAAAGGAGTGAATTCTCTTGTGTATATCAAATCTTTTCCAGGATACTCGGTCTTTACAACAAAGGAAAAGCCCCACTTTTTACTGTGAAATAAGAAGTATTTAACAGGCTTCTGAAAATAAGCTTTTCTGCGGTTTCTTGAAGTCTACATTTAAATGATTCCTATTACCAAGAAACAGAGATTAACTACAATCCATCTGCATTGGGATTTCACCCAACAAGCAGGGCCAGATGACTTGGAAGGGCTTGTCTGTCCTGTGCTACCATTTCCTACAGAGACTCTCTGGCCTAATCGCATGCCATAAAATTTCAGTCAAAAGCAGCGGCAAGTAGCACGTGCAAAGCAAAGTTACTCTCCTTGACCAAGGCACTAAGTCATTGCCAGTCTTCTTATGTGTAAGTATTTGTCCTAATTTTTCAGATTTAATTCTAGTGAGGCAGATGAAACTTGAAAATAAATTTGATACTGCCATTTTTCTTTCAGATATCTTCTGTTGCTGCCTTTTCAAATCATTAGCAGGCTGCTTAAGTGCTTGGTGACGAAAGCCAAGCCATTTACTTCTATATTTATTTCCTGACATGGATTTGTTTTGCAGAATATGAGAAACATTTCAGTAATTGTTTCATCATCAGTTAAAATGATCAGAAAATTCTGAACCCAAGTATTCAGAGTTTTCGTTCTTACAGAAAGGATCAGGCAGCGCTCACCACTTAACCTCCAGGAGTGAAACTCACTTTCAAACATCCATTCCCCAAGTAACTTTGCCTTCCTCGTTCTTGACACATGCCAATGCATTCTTAACACGTGCCAACCTTCAGCAATTATGCTGGAAACACGGTGAAATGAAGTCATGCACAGCACGATCATTGAGCGATCCTATAGAGGAAGTTTAAAGCAGAAGAAAGCTATCCCAGGGAACGATGAGTTGCTTAAAGCTCTGGAGCAGCTCAGAGGGGTCCGTTGGTCCAACGGGGGTGAGGGGGGGTGGCAGCTGCAGGACATGAGAGCGATACCATCCTCCTCAGCCACCACGTGCGCTTCCTTTGGCCGAACAGCTTACACCAGCGCTTTCCTCGGCATTACGCCCGGATAACTCTGCAAGTCTAGACAAAGGTGGCTCATGAGACCTGCCCTCTTTCTTTCAACACAGCAATGGTTCAAAGAGCAGAAGCAGAAAACTTTGATTTTAATGATGCCGGGCCGCAGCGGAGCTGGGCAAGCCAGCCACCCTGGGGGCTGCTGGGCAGAGGGGAGTGCTCAGGGAGAGCCTGCCCAGGCAGCCGCTCCACCTGGACGGCCCCTGGACGGCACAAGGAAAAAGGGCTTTACAAGAGAGAAAAAATGAATTTAACAGCATAAAGCGGGTTAAGACATTAAACAGCAGCACGCTGCCGACACGCAGAGCGGTTGCCGGGTTTTCTACAGATCTGTAATTCATGGTTGCACCCTCCGTGCCCAATTAAAAAGCGATAATTTGGTTGTTTTCTGCTGGCAGGGAACCATCACATCGCCTCCAACGCTGCAGGTCGGTCGGAGACCCGCACACGCTGCAGCCCCCCCTCCCTCCTCCCGGCCACCCACAAGTCCCCCCCTTGGCCCTTCCAGCCCTTCCTTCTGCCAAACCTGGCTGGAGCAGGGAGAGCAGGAGGGGAACCTGCAACCAATTCAGTTCAGTTCTGCAGGAAAGGAGGCTGAACACAAGAAACGTGAGCTGGCTAGAGAGGAGGAATTTAAAATACAGTATGGAAACTGGGAAAACTCTGCAAGTTGCACGTGCCTATTTGTTTTCTTTGCAAACAGTTTATTTCAATTCTCTAAAAACAAATATATATATATATGCACACACACGCGCCCCTGCCCTGCATTTCTCAGGGAGAGGAGGAAGAAATCGGCACCCCCTGAAGAGGCAACCAGCCTCCCAAGGGCACTGGCCCATGGTGACTACTTCCCATCTCAAGAAGAGGAATTGTAACACACTTGGGGTGCTAGAATCTACTCTCCATCCTCCGATTCCACATGTCCCATGTCCCCAGCCCACATCTGCACTCCAGGTCAAAGCCAGTGCCAGCTGAGACAGACAGCAGTTCATCAACAAGAATGAGGATTTTTTTACCAGCCCCCACCAAAGGGATCAGATAAGGAAAAAAGCCATGAAACCTCAGAAGCAGTCATTCTTGATCCCTCATCCAAAACACTGTTCAGACTTCCTCTTCAACAAAGCCCAAGGATTGAGTAACACACCTGAAATTACACCAAATTTTTTTGCTAAATGCACTGAAGTGCCGAGCACAAGGACCGGACAGCTGCCAGAGAGGTGCGCACACCCAAGTGAAGCTACCCGCGGTGACCAGTGGGCGAGGGACCCGGGTCAGGGGCTGCTCCCTGGCCGGGATCCTGGTCCTGCAGCCCAGAAACGGCTTGCCCAGTGCCGGTGGAAAGGCCTGCAGAATGACCCGCATCCAGCCCTCCCTGAGCTAGCAACTGTTTGTGCAAGCCTCTTTGGTAGGGTTACATTTATGAATAGACTTTTCCTATTATAAATGCAAACAACAACAAAATCAGGCTATTAACAGACTTCATGCATTTCACAGCATGCATGGTCCTCTCAAAGAAAAGAGCCAAATACTAAGAATTTAAACCCTGCTTCTATGAAACTTTGTTCCTGTTGACATTCATTTTCCCAAAAGCATCAAAGAATATTTCGTCTGCTTTCACCGAGAAGTACTGTGCATACTTACAACAGCCTATAAAAACCCACCCTGTGTGTACTTATCGCCAATTAAAATCCTGCGCTGCATATGTGCGGACTGAGCATAGCTCTGGGGCTTTTGGCAAGCCGCCCGCACAGCCCTCAGCGTGGCACAACCCAGTTACACCACCTCAACTGGGTACACTGGGGTTGGGAGACCGGAGGAGGGAAGGAGGCTCTGACCTTCACAAAATACTGATTTTCCTTCAAAAATTACTTGAAAGCAAGAACATCCACTTTAAAAATTAAAAATGACAAATAAAACTCTTCACTATATTAAAACCACGCCAAACCCTGAATCGCTGCCCTAAGACAAGAGAACATTTCAGGTGGGCTCAGGCGAGGTCTGCTGTCAGCCCACGCCGTTTGCCAGCCAACACACTGTTTAGGCAGCTGAAATCCTGCCAGAGCCGGGGAAGGTGGCACGATCCCTTGCTGGCTGCCATTTTGCTCGGGGTATGCCCTATCTGCCACGCACCTGTTAAATCAGCAGTTAAAAATAAGCCTGGAGAGCATGCCAGTTGCAAGGCAGTCGTGGGACGCGGGGCCGGGAAGCCCCTCTCCAGGGGTCCCACCAGGCACCGGGCCCGCTCAGAGCCACCGCCGGTGCTGGGGCAGGGATGGAGCTGCACCGTGCTGCGGCTCCGAAATGGTGTTCTGGCTCTTACAGCCGTCTGCGTTCCCACAGTACACTTTCAAGTGAAGGCACCCAAACCACACGCAACGCTGCGGCCAGGCTTTTGCTCCATTTCACTTTCAGGTTATCCCAGTTGTAAACTGCAGACACAGCACGGGATGAGTTTAAAAGTCCTGTTTCCATTGCTTAAAAAACAAAAGCAAACAAAAAAAACCCCACCAACAAAAAAACCCCAACCACAGCCAAAAAAGCACCCCCCCCACATCACCCCCCCCAACTTTTTAAAATGCAATTAATAATACACATACGTTAGAACCAAAATCTGGTTCTAGTGACACCAGCAAGCACGTCTCTTCCGCTTTCTATTTTAGAGAGCAAGAAAGTTTAGAGAGAAAGCAAATACAAGTTTTAATATGAAGAACAAAACATCCTTTAATAAAACTCCATAGCAAGAGATCCATAAGATATCCAGTTACTATCTGGTGTTTGAAGTCACAAGAACTTCTTCCGAAGGGGAGGATTGGGATTTAATCCAGATAAAGAAAGAAGAACTAGAAGGCAACCAGCAAATAACACACAAAAATTATTTTCCCTTCTAGACATCTCAATCTTTACTGTAATTCAACTGCAACTCTTAAACGTGCCCTATAGGAGAACTAGGACAGCTGCAGTAGCCACGAGAGGGCATTCAGAACCTGAGCACCTGGGGGTCACGGGCTCCAGGCCATACGTCACGCACGCCCATGTCGGATGCCATAGGGCAGAGCTGCAGACGGATGACATTCACCAGCACTGCATCCCACGTCAGTGAAAAGAAGAGCATTTGGTTTTAACTTTTTCCTACAAAAGCCTATAATTAGAGAACCTGAAACTTGCTACAGGTGGCAATGGGAAAGTCTCTTTTAAAGCAGCAGCTAACAGATTTCCAAAGA